AGTGTTACCCCAATACCTGCCTGCAGTTTCAAACAGGGCATCACATTTCGAGACACGGTAAATTTCGATGAGCGAGTTTCATTTCGTGGGTTTCGATTACTACTGGTAAGGAATGAAGTTTCAACGAGTATACTTGCAACGGTGCAAAGTTACACAGAATGCACGTAATATGCAAATGTACTCCAAATACAGTGCTTTTTGTAATGCTATAATAACTTTTTACTATATTCCCAGAAATATGAATTTGCATAAAAATCCGCAGTCTAGTAATCATTTTATACAAGTTGCTTTCGTACCCTAGAATAGTAGTTCGATGTCAGAAAGAAATGAATCTTTCACAAATAGTATTCGAATCTTGGAAATAAGAAATTCTATAGCAACCATATAAAAATCATGTATATTCTTATAATTTTAATTATTAGTCTATAACTGAATCGTGTAGAAGAAGTACCACAATTGATTGTAAAGACTGCGAAGAAACAATAATTTAGGAGAGCAGAAAATTTTTTAGTAAGGTACTCATACAAGTTTCCAATTAAGTACTCCAAGTACTCATTGAAGATTCGAATCCATCTCTCGTTTAGGTTCGAGTATACCGTTGCAAGTACTGTTTTTATTTTCCTAAATACTCGTAGAGGGTTCGAATCTACAATACTTGCGAGGTACTTCATCCCATCGCTACTTAGGGCTGCTGAAATTCGGAACCGAGGGGCAATCATTGGCAATTTTAATTATGGATGGGCTTAAAGGGTGCATTCAAGTTGCTGCCATTCGTAGAAATGAACTTTTGTAGAAGAAGCTTTCTTTTTGGAAGTGAACGAGCGTAGAATTGAATATTTCTCTTATTCAGAATTGTTCAGGTCTCGCTGCAAGCAGTTTCGTTCGATTAATTTTCAAAGAAAAAAACTGAGTTACCATGTGCACTACGCGTTTCTACGACCCGTCCGTTATTTCGATACATTTCCGGGAAAGAAAGAAAAACGTTCGCGAAATTCTATAGACGACCGAATGAATATTCTTTCGCTGGTGCAACGTTGCAAAGGTGTTCGGTGCCTATTTAGCTGAAATCAAGCGGTAGAAATTCTTGGCAAGCCAATTTCGCGTGTGACTGCATCGTTATATTTGATAACAGTCCGGGCACGCGAACGTCAAGACAACGCCGTTCCTTCTTATCTCCAGCCAGTGAAAATCCTGTCCTCCACGCTGTTTCTATTCGCGTTCTGGAAATGCTACTATACGTTATCTCTCGCGTCGCTTTTATACTTGGTCATTACGTCAACGATATTACGACGCGCGTCGAAATAGCCAGGTTTCGTCACACGTCTAAGGGAAACGTGCTCGTCTCAATGAAATCCGTGTCGTCGATGTTAATGTTAAGGGACGTTGACTCTGTAACTTCAATGGTTTCTTGAAAATAATGATCGAGACACGCCTTGAAACTAGCGTGGAATACGTACAATTGGTAAGGAAAAACGGAGAATAAAAATCGAGCGGAAGTGTAGAGTAAAATTTTTCCGTACGAAGTTACATTTCCGGGTAAATTAACGTTGAAAATTGATTTAAGTGTGAGATACAATTGGAAGTGAAAAGCGGATAATAAAAATCAATCGGAAATGTAGAGTAAGATTTTTTCATACGAAGCTTCTTCATTTCCGAGTAAATTAACGTTGAAAATTAATTGAAATTAATTAGCGTGAGATTAGAGAAACACAGAACATAAAAATCAATCGAAAATGTAGAGAAAGAGTTTTTCATACGAAGCTACATTTCGGAGTAAATTAACGTTGAAACTTGTTGGAGCCGCTGCGCGTAATCTCACTCGCGCCTGTGTCTAATAAATATCACTGCAAGCTGCCTACATTGCTATTTCAGTTTATCACGCTAGATAGTGAAGGATACATAACGAAATAAAAGTAGGAACAAATATCTGTGTTGGATCATTCGTAATGATAAATTACACTTCCTCGAAAGAATGAATATTTGGACATTAATAATTACCCATTAAACACAGTGCAGGCAAAAATACTTATAATATTGAGTATTTTACAAATACTTGAATATTTTTCTAACACAATTAGATCAGATGTAATAATTTCGATTAATTTGTGTCGTAATATTATATACGATCGGTGAACGTGACATCGATGGAAGTTTACTGATGGAGCCACGTCAAGTCTCTTACGTATAACCACACGAGAATAAAAGTGAAAAAAGAACTTAAAAAGATAATTACTCTTACGTTGGAAGTTTATCTTTGTGTGAACAAAAATGTTACCAATAAAATTCACCCCTTTTCAGGTAGGATTCACCGTTAGTTTTCAAACACCCTGTATATTGTTAATTTATTCGTAGCGCAAGGAGAATATGGCTATCTAATCATTGGAGAATTCAACGATATTATGCTCTGTTTTGTAAATGACGATGACGATGAGGTTAAATGCTCGATTAGTCTGTTGTGGTCACCTTTTCAGATAATTTATCGCCACGCACCGTTCGCAGCCCTCTCGTTAGGAACGCTCACGCACTATATTGATTTTTGAAGTTCGTCGAGTCGCCGAACACCGATTCTCAGTGGATTTTCCACGCGTTCATCACCGCGATTCCAGCCTGGATGAGACTGAGAACGAAACTGAACCTCCTCTGCCACCACCACCCGGCCTCATCCCCACCCACAAACCAGCAAACACACCTTTAGCTATGCTCGTCGTTCTAGCTATCACCTACTTTCTTCTCCCACGCAACGAAAATCGTTATCATCTTTTCTGTTTTAATTATTTTCTCGTTAGTCACGTCACGTTTTCCCATTTTTCCTTCTCTCTCGTGAACTATTGACAAATTTGTCAAGAGCTAATCTGCGAGGCTGTTTACTCGATCGTGGAAGTGTATCTACTTCTAACGTCAGTTCCACTTGTCAGATAGATCAGCGATAACGAATTTGATGTAACGATAATCTTTTTATAGAAGTGTATGATAGATACATAGTATAGCTTGTGGAGGGGGATATAACATGTACAGAATGGTCTATAAGTTGTTTCGTCGTTTAAAATATTGAGCAACTTGTTTCCTTACTGTTATATTTCTTTCACATTTTTCTGTCAGATTTGAGAAAAATGTTTAGTCCGTACTTATTGATCACCCTGTTGTACAAATAACGAGACAGGTTACTGTTTTAACGTTTATTTTCCAATAAATTTCCACGAGTGATGCAACGTTTATCGTTGAAGATAAACGAGTAATCGGTTTCGAGTTTACCGATTATTCCCGATTCGTTTCCGTCATTCGTAAACACGCGACGCGAAATTTAAGGTTAAGTTAGCCAGAAAAGCTTCGACGTAAAAAGCACCCGAGAACATCCTTGACCCCGTTTCCCCGTGAATGCCAAAGAAGTCTAAAGTTGACTTTTCTACACCCAAGTAGTATGACTCAACAATATGTCGCACGAATGGCAAACGGTTACCTTCGCCACTCGTTCGTTTCCACTGAACTCGCAGGTGTAACACGTATGAATGTTTGATCGAGTAATGACAGATCTTTCAGCACGTTTCACACCACGACCCCTCTAGCCGCTACGAAAACTATGGGTTACATATTTATGTACCTTTATGCATCGGTATAAAGGGAATACAGTGTCAATAGACGATGGAAATTAACTGGTTGGATACTTGAGAACGATTGCAGCGCTCGAAATGCCGGTAAAAAAGGTGCGCTGGTAATTACGGCAATGTTCTCCCTTGTGTAATTTATGAAACGAGCTTCCCATTAGCAGCTCAAGTGACCACGAAAGAATCTTAAAATAAATATGACACGCGAAATGCATGCGGTAATGAGCCTTTTGTCGAGTGAAATTCGTGACAGTACGCGTTTCAATCTAAACTCGATTCGCCGCGAAGGACTTGTTGCACGATGAATATAAACGTTTGCCGCTTGTTGCTTCATTGTAGGCTGCGTGTAATGAAACAGACACGTGCATTCAACTTGTCAATGAATTGCGTAGGACGGAGATAATAGATACGAAGAAACAGCACATTAGAATTTTTCTTTTCTGGTGTTTACGTCATCTGAAGAATAGACTTTTTTTAGTTCATCATGCTGATGAATGTAATTCGAAAAATATATAAGTTGAAATTTCACATTTGCATTTATTTATACGAAGTATCTTTCTTTTAATTGTATCGCGTAAATTTATACAGTATTTAGTACCTGTTTATAATATTGGTAAAAAATTAACATTTTCTACGAAGATCTTGCAAATGTGTTAGAATCGTAGAATTGCAAAATTTGGAAGTTGATTTTACTTTTCTGAGCATAATGGGTTGCACACGTCTGGCTATAGTTAACAGAGGTAACCTATCTTACCGGCCACAGGTTGTTTATTAGCTACGTCAACGTTCTGAAATACCGATCGCGACGAAATACCGACTGCGAATTACGGAATTTATTCCATGTATTCAATTTTTCCTAGAGTTAGTTTATTTAATTTTGCAATGGAATATTCTTTAAACAATGAGTTTTTTGAAACAGGAAAGGGACGTGATGTGTAAGGGAGCAATAAATAATAGATTTTTTAATAAATAATTGCATTTCCTCATTTTTCCTAATGTTCAAGTCCTTCCCTTGATTCCTATGGTGCCCTGGAAGTAATTCCCTCCTGTAATTCATATAAAAAAATCTTAATTTTTCTAAATATTAATAAAAGTTATAAACAACTTCTGACTAATCTACCGAATGCAATGGTTGTTCAATGCAAAATTAGTATATTAAGTTGTTTTACTATGTTGAAGTATACAATAATTTCATCTAATACTTCGGATAATTATAAACAACCATTTAAATTGTTATTTAACAAGAAACACAAATTATTCTATAATTATAGTACTTGAAAATAAGCCAGAAACTATATTTTACTATTTAAATTACTAGTAATGTTAAAGCAATTAAAAATTTATTTTAAGTAACAATTAAACATAATAAAAATGACGAGGATAGCACTAGAGTAATGAGTTAGACAAGGAAAGAAATAGATGTAGACAAGGATAGCACTAGAGTAATGAGTTAGACAAGGAAAGCAATAGCGGTAGATAAGAACTGAAAATTTGAAAGGTGACACTAATGCCATCTCGTGTTTTGGTGACGCGTACTACGATTTCTTAATAGGAACACATAATATAAACAGAGGTATTAGACAAGGAAAGCACTAGTGTGCGAGAAGGACAGAGAGAAAACGCTTCCTATTGGCTGGCGGTCCGCCATACTCCGTCTACCACGGGCAAATCAAGTCGGTCAGGGAAAAATCATTAATAACTCAATAATTACGACTATTTTGTGAACTTTTAGAGTTAAAGAATGAAGTGTGGACCTTCAGCAATTTTCACATATACTTTTTAGTACACTAGACCCTTTCAATAATTAGTTATTAACAATTTTATTACGTGATGTCGAAAACGATACCGTATACCGTCAAGTAGCGTTACGGTTTTTCAATAATTTCATAGCTTTCTACTAAATTCCCATGCAAATAACTATACGTATCTGAAAGAGGACTCCGTTAGCTACATTCTCATATAATTTTTATTAACAGATTCGGTATAGTTTAAGAGTTATTAAACATTATATAGGAGTGTCTCCTATTCGTCGTAGTCGAGTATAGTCAATTGTTACACACAATTGCTAATATCTAATGAACCGCTTCAGATATACATTCCAAAATTATTGTAGAATGTAGTAGAAAGTCTACGCTACATTCTTCATGCTTGAAAGTACATAATTAATCAGGCATATTCATGAAAGTCACGGAAATATGTTACGCTTTAATGCCGCAAGTGTTGCACTTACCCAAATAATATTTAATATCTCGCAAATTACGACATGTTTGTTATTAAAAATATAACGAGAAATTAGCTAAAGGAATAACCTTTCAAACGCATGTATGAAAGTATATAAATTATTTGTTTAAAGCTACAAAATTAATAAAAAACCAGAAAGACAGAAAGGTGTGCGATATCGTTGCCGACATTTCGCACGGAAATATTGAATAACTATCAAACCAGAAGTGATATGTTAATAAAAATTATATGAGAATGTAGCTAACGGAGTCCTCTTTCAGATACATATAGTTATTTGCATGGGAATTTAGTAGAAAGCTAAGAAATTATTGAAAAACCGTAACGCTACTTGACGGTATACGGTATCGTTCCCGACATCACGTAATAAAATTGTTAATAACTAATTATTAAAAGGGTCTAGTGTACTAGAAAGTATATGTGAAAATTGCTGAAGGTTCACACTTCATTCTTTAACTCTAAAAGTTCACAAAATAGTCGTAACTATTGAGTTATTAATGATTTTTCCCTGACCGACTTGATTTGCCCGTGGTAGACGGAGTATGGCGGACCGCCAGCCAATAGGAAGCGTTTTCTCTCTGTCCTTCTCGCACACTAGTGCTTTCCTTGTCTAATACCTCTGTTTATATTATGTGTTCCTATTAAGAAATCGTAGTACGCGTCACCAAAACACGAGATGGCATTAGTGTCACCTTTCAAATTTTCAGTTCTTATCTACCGCTATTGCTTTCCTTGTCTAACTCATTACTCTAGTGCTATCTACCGCTATTTCTTTCCTTGTTTTACTCGTTTCTTGATACCAAATATATTTTATGCATTTTATATTTTATGCATTCGCACAAACGACGCTGTGACATACAGATATAGAAATCTATATATACCTTATTAGTAATTTAATGGTTACGTTTAGTTCTAATTCCAACCACTACTAATGTTGTAATCTTCTTCTATACTGAATCGATAACATTGGAAACGATACGAAAATGGTAATGGGGCTTTAAAGCCCCTGTGACGTGAACAAAGAAATGTATTGGGTGATAGGTTTATTCTGTATCTTGTTCAGGTTACTACCATAAAAACATAACCTCGCACACGTTGTTTTATTTAAAGATTACACAGTATGTCTGAAATAAATCCTACCCTGTAATTGAAGTTATAATTTCTAAACTGCTGTTTCACTATTTTATAACGTGTCATTCGTATGAATACACATTACATTTTACAAGCAGGCTGTAATTGTTCTTACAGTTTAAATGTTAAACTTCATGCAAAAAAATATAGAATACAAATATTTCATAGGAAGTAAACACGTATTTCTGTAACGCAATTAAAATTTATTGCAGAACTATATAAGTAGACAACAAGTTGACACTTTTACATACATGCAACTTTTAATTACACATTTGCAGTTACATCGTAAAATATTTTCTTATACAATTTTAAATAAAATGGAACACTGTGCAAAGAAAGTGAAATTAGATAGTACAAGTATAAAGGAAGGAGAGGCAGAAATTCTGGTGAACAATACAAATGTATTTTATAACCCTGTCCAAGAATTTAATAGAGATCTGAGCACAGCAGTGTTAATGACTTATATAAAAAATAGAAGTAAAGAATCACAAAAAGAAGAAGGAATCACTATATTAGAAGCTTTGTCTGCAACTGGTTTACGTAGTATTCGATATGCCAAAGAAATACAGGGTATAAAACAGATAGTATCCAATGACATCAGTGCAAAGGCAGTGGAGAGTATTAAAAGAAATATACAACATAATGGTGTTGAAGATATTGTGAAACCAAGTCATGAAGATGCAACGTTACTCATGTATCAAAGTAGAAAAGACAAATTTGATGTAGTAGACTTGGATCCATATGGTTGTCCTACAATATTTTTGGATGCAGCTGTTCAGTGTGTATCGGATGGTGGATTACTTATGATTACAGCTACTGACATGGCTGTATTAGCTGGGAATTCCCCTGAAACCTGTTATCTTAAATATGGAGCTATTTCATTGAAATCTAAAGCCTGTCATGAAATGGCATTAAGAATTTTATTACAAAATATTGCTTCACATGCAGGCCGTTATGGAAGGTACATAGTACCAATGCTATCTATAAGTGCTGACTTTTATATAAGAGTATTTGTTAAAGTGTTTTCCAGTCAAATCAAATGTAAAGAGAATGCCACTAAAATTGGAATGGTGTATCAATGTACAGGTTGTGAGAGTATAAGTACTCAATCCTTATGCTATAAAAAGCCCTCTGGAGGCTACAAATTAACATCTTTGCCTTATGTGGATCGATTATGTAAAATTTGCAAACATAAGCATCATGAAGGAGGACCTATATGGTTAGGTCCTTTGCATGATCAACATTTTGTATCTCAACTTTTATGTAATTTGGATGAAATGAAATTAGTAACATCGAAAAGGATAGAGGGAGTTTTGAATGTTGTTCATGAAGAACTAGATGTTCCATTATACTACACTCTCGATCGTTTAATGTCTACAATCAAATGTATCACACCATCGATGTTAATATTTCGATCTGCATTGTTAAATGCAGGGTATCATGTATCATATTCACATGCATGTAAGATATCGATTAAAACGGACGCACCGAATGAAGTTATATGGGACATTGTACGTGCATGGGAAAAAAAGAATCCCATAAAACGAGATAAGCTACCAAATGATAGTTCTGCAATAAAAATATTAGATACACCAACAACTATAGATGTTTCATTTGATATACATCCTCTGGCCAATCCAGTTTCCAGGCAAAACAAGTTAAGTCGGTTTCAGAAAAATCCTACAGTCAATTGGGGACCTGGTACACGTGCAAAAACAAGAATTGATCTAGAAAATGAATTTGAAATCTCTAAAAAGATTAAAAATCAGAATAAACATTCCAAAAAAGAGAAACCTCAAGTCACAGAAAATGCCGAGGAGACACAGCCCGTATGAAACGATAGATCTCTCTGTATTCGCCTAATTCACGTAAATTTTTGTAAAAAGAAAATACAACTGCCTCTATATACATCTGTTTTCCCACCAGTCGTTCAATTCTCCTATTCATTGAAGATACATGTAACATATATTTTTACTCATTACACATTGTAATATCTGTACAATTGTAAATATGAATATATTCATACTCTGAAACTTCTACATCGTTTCTTTCTAAAGAATCTGGAGAATAACATATAGCAAATTGGTCCATCCAATTTGTATAATCGGTAAGTACTTACTAACCGATAAGGTATCAGTAACTTCTCGACATATATACGTCATAGTTTTTATATAAATACATTTTTCATAATTCATTCCATTATAAATTACTCCACATCAAAGCGATCGTACGGATACATACAGTCGGCCGCATAAGTATTCGTCCACCTACCGCACTCAGTGTATCTAGGTTAAAGTCGGAAAATATGCAGATGGAATTTGAAAAAAAAAATGCAGAAATGAAGCTTAATTTATACAAAATAAGCTGACATTTTGCAGGATTCATAACTGTTATACATAATGAAAAATTAAACGATGTATCATAATGTGGCGGGAAATTCGAACGCAAAAGTGTTCGTCCATTTACAAACTAATGAAATTATTATTATACAAAATTGCCATTACTACTCTTAATACTTAGTATGGTACCCTTTAGATGAAATTATGGCTTTTAGACGTTTGGACATTGATTTTACTAACTTTTCTGTAAAGTCTGGTGATATTTTTCCCCATTCCTCTATAAATCGTTGCTTTAAGTCATCACGATTTTTCGGCGGTGATTTGCGAATATTTTTTTTTATTTCTGCCCACAAGTGTTCAATTGGGTTTATATCCAGTGACTGGAATGGTGTTTCTAAATAATGCGGAGTGTTATATAATATCCATTCTCTAACGATGGCTTCTTTGTGCTTTGGGTCGTTGTCCTGCTGGAACATAAAGTTATCTTTGATTCCAAATTTCTCAGCACTTCCAAGTAAATGTTCCTTTAATATATTTAGGTACATCCATGGTACCATCTATAATCTAGTAATCACCAACCCCAGCCATCGACATATGTACAGCCCCACACCATGAGCGACGCTCCCCGTGTTTCACGGTTGGTGTTAAATTTTCTTTTTGAAACTCTGTATTCGGTTTCCTCCAAACTTTTTTACTAGGTGTATCAAAAACACAAAATTTAGACTCGTCGGTGAATATAACACGTTTCCAAAAATCTTCGGTTTTTAAAACGTAGTTTTTGGCAAAGTCTAATCTCTTTTTACTATTTGTAGCAGTAATTAATGGCCTCTTACGACTAATATGGCTCTTCAAATTGGCTCTATGCAGTACCCGTCGAACAGGT